TCACTTCCATGATCATTTTGGGTCTGGAGTACCTGCTCCTCAGTTCTGGCCACTGCTCCAGTTTTAGTATTGTCTGCGAATTTCATCAGCAGACTGTTCACCCCTTCTTCCATGTCATTTATGAAAAGATTAAACAGGATCAGCCCCAGGACAGAGCCCTGGGGGACCCCACTTGTCACTGGCTGCCATCCCGATGATTCCCCACTAATGGTTACTCTCTGCTTTCAGTCAGTCGACCATGCCCTAATCCACCAGACAGTGCTTTGGTGTATCCCAAAACTGCTCAGATTCTCCACCAGGATATCATGGGGCACTTTGTCAAAGGCCTTGCTGAAATCCAAGTAAACCACATCCACTGCACCCCCTCCATCTAACCATCTCAGAACCTTGTCGTAGAATTCCACAAGGTTTGTCTGGCAGAACCTGTTTTTGCAGAAGCCTTGTTGTATGGCTGCCAGCCTCCCTTCCCTATCTAGCATCACTAGATCTCTCTCTATTATGAGCCTTTCCATTGTTTTTCCTGGAATGGACGTAAGGCTAACCGGTCTATAATTCCCCGTGTCCTTTCTACTACCCTTTTTGAAAATTGGGACCACTGACGCCACCCTCCAGTCCTCTGGAACTTCACCCGTTCTCCACGACGCCTCAAAAATGGAGGCCAGCGGGTGTGAGAGAACCCCTGCCAACTCTCGAAGCACTCTCGAGTGTAACCCGTCAGGGCCTGGCACCTTTGTAATGTCCAATGCCCTGAGGAACCCCTCAACTTCTAGGGGGTTGACTCTAATCTGTGCCCCTATGTCCCCAGCCTCATCTAATCTATGCGGATATCCCCTGTCCAGCTTTGGGGGGAACACAGAGGCAAAATAATCATTTACCATCTGTGCCTGTTCCCTCATATCAGTCACTGGATCTCCTTCCTCCTTATTTAGTGGTCCCACCACTTGTCTCGCCTTCCTCTTCCTATTTACATGCTGAAAGAAGCCCTTTTTGTTGCTCTTGATATTCTTGGCAAGTCTCAGCTCGTAATCAGCCTTAGCCTTGTGAAGAATCCTTCTGCAATGGGCCTCCTCTTCCCGGTATACCATTTTGTCTATTTGCCCCAGTACCCATTTCCTATGGTGGTTCCTCTTGTGTCTAATCCCTCGAATTGCCTCCTTTCGCATCCATGGCAGCACTCTCCTTCGCCTCCCCACCTTACTAATTAGAGGTATTGTCAAGGCTTGCATCTTCAAAACCTCCCTTTTGAGTGCCATCCACCCCTCCTCAATTCGCTTACCTTCCAGTAACCTATCCCAGGAGACTTTCCCCATTCTGGCCTTCAGTTGGTCCCAACTTCTAGTGCTCGACCTGCTGCACATCCACAGTCCCCTGATCTCAAAGCAAAGGATGGAGTGATCACTTGCATCCAGAGCTCCCCTAATCTGTACTTCATCTATCAGCTCCTCTCTATTGGTCAAGACCAAGTCAAAGATGTTTCTGGAGATTGAAATAATTACTGTGTCTCTCCCCCGAGATATCCTTAGAATCTGGCCTGTCAGGCCATCATCCAGGGTCTTAAGTTGACCTGGAGGGCGATAACATACCCCCACTGTCAGGTCTCTTTCTGTGTCAAAACCCCTATGTTTCACCCAGACTGCCTCTACCGAATCCCCATCTGTGCTGCATTCTGTCTCACTGCATCCTATCCCTTCCCTCATGTATAAAGCCACGCCCCCACCTCTCTTTTCCTTCCTGTCCTTTCTAAAAAGGTGATACCCCTCTATGTTCACATTCCAGACTTGCCTTTCATCCCACCAAGTTTCTGTGATTCCCACCAGATCATACCCTCCTATTCCCAGGAGAGCTTCAAGCTCTTCCTGCTTATTACCCATGCTCCTAGCATTGGTGTACATGCACCTCAGCTCCTTCCCACCACTTTCTTTCCTTTGAGTCCCCAGCCTCTTCCTTCCTCTTATCCTCCCTGATACCTGGCCCCTCTCTGAAGGAGTCCTGTCAGTCCCTGCAGTACCTCTAAAACCCTGCTCCCAGGGCCCTGATCCTCTCCCCACACACTTGTCCAGTGCAGACACGTTTCTGGGGGGCCTGAACCCACCCCCCTGAACCCTCCCGAACCTCCCCCCCCCAGTCTATCTCAGTGGCATTGAAGGGACCCTTTAGGAAGCATGTAAACTGCAGCCCTAAGTCCATACATGTCTTCCTTATGCTTGCTTTGTATTGGTGAGGGTCATGTGGTCAGCCAGCATCCTCAATGCCAAGTCTTTACAAGCAGGCTAGGAAGCATTGTGCCAACCATCTTTTGGCAGAGTTCTGGAGCAAGGCTCTTAAGATGATTAATGCATCTAATGTGCCAGCCACCCCTCGCCATCTACCACCAGCTTCACAAACCTTGCAGTGCTTGTGCCTTCCATGGGTGCTGCCCCATTTGTGGGCCAGTCACTGCCTCCAACACCAGGAAAGTTGGCAAAACTGAAGAAGGTGAAGAAGTTGGCCAAGAGGGCCAAAAATGTGAAAATGGTGCAGTCTTCAGTCACCAAGCCCAAGTGAAGCTGAATGGATTCTCAGTTGGTCCTGGCCATATTCAAATCATCTATCTACAAGGACTTCACACTGGGCTTGGCACCAAGGCTTGAATCCATCTCAGTGGATTTTTTTGCAAACAGTACCAATTAAACTACCACAGAGATCCCTTTTTGAATGGCAAAAAAATTGAATTCCTATATTTTAAAGGGAAAAAATGTGAACAAACGTATTCTATATCAACATCCTGCCATGGGTGGCCCAGAAGTTTCAGATATCACTAAATATTATGACACATTTCAGTTGTGCCAACTTTTTCCAATATTGTATAAAGATTTCAATATAGCTTGGGTAGAAAGAGAATATACTGGAGAACATTTTTAAGATTCTTTTTGCCCAGCACTAATAGAAATACAGCTATATTATATTCTAATTTCTAATATCTCTAATACCAAATACTTAATTTTGAAAGGTTCCATTGATTGTACAGCATACTACAAAGCAGCTTCATAATTTGAAAAGGAACTATCTCAAAAATCTACGGATGTCTTCTTGATATTGCTCATTATAGCCTAAGAGATAGCCTGGGAGCAAGTTCTAGA